TATATATATATATATATATATATATTGTTAACATTTAGTGAAAATTCATTTTTTGCCTTTTGTTGTTCTTTTTGTGACCATTTTGTTCATATGATTTTAGAAATATAGTTTTGTTTAGTTGTCCAACATATATTTGAAGTGTATGAGTTTCAAAAAATCTATTTCTTAATCACTATAAAAACAATGACTACTGCTCCTTATCACAGTCAAACCTAAAAGGCTAGGTGAACAAGAAGGAAAAGGACCTAGAGAAGGAGAAAGAGAAGGAGGAGAAGCAGAAAGTTAAAAAGAAAGCACAAGAGAAAGAGAAAAAAGTTGAAGTTGTCAATTGTGATGTGAAGGAATAATATCCACCATTGATTAGATTGAAGGTTATGTATACAATTGTGAATTACTTTTTTGTTAATAAGTTGTATAAAACAATTGGAAGTGTTCATTTTTGTTGATAATATTAATGATTTTTTTTGTTGTCGGAACAAATGTCAATTATGATGGAAAAGAAGAAATATGGTGTCTGTGGCAATACATATAACCTATGTTGTAAAAAATACCATAAAATTATTTGCATGTGCTCCAATCGAAATGATATATGTGGCAACATATGTCATAGAAAAAAGATATGTGATAACATATGTCACATAAAGAAGATATGTGGTAACATATGTCATAGAAAGAAGATATGTGACAACATTACATTGTTATCAATTGTTCATTTTTGCTGATAATATCAATATTAATGATTTTTTTTTATTTTGTTGGAACAAATGTCAATTCTGATAGAAAGGAAGAAATGTGGTGTTTGGGGCAACATATATAACATCTATCGTAAAAAAATACCACAAATTTATCTAGATGTGCCACAACAGAAAGGATATATGTGACAACATTCCACAAAAAGAAGATATGTGGCAACATATGTCACAGAAAGAAGATATGTGGCAACATTATATTGTCACCAATTGTTCATTGTTGCCGATAATATTAATATTAACAATTATTATTATTATTATTATTATTATTATTATTATTATTATTATTGAATAAATGTCAATTATGATGGAAATGAAGAAATGTGGTGTCTATGACAACATATATAACTTCTACTCTGAAAAACACCACAAAATTATCTATATGTGCTCCAACATAAAGGATATATGTTGTCATGACA